CAGTGGCTGGGAGCGGCCACTGCGCTCCAGTCTGGGTGACAGAGTGAGATTAAAAATAAAAATAAAAAAAATTTTTTTTTATTAAAAATGAGGCATACTCAATGCTAAAAAATGAATAAAAGCCATGTAAGATGTTACAGAGTAACCGGCACAGTGGCTCATGCCTGTAATCTCAGCACTTTGGTAAGCAGAGACAAAAGGACTGCCTGAGTCCAGGGGTTCAAGACCAGCCTGGGCAACTTAGTGAGACCTTGTCTCTACAATAAATCAAAAAATTAGCCGGGTGTTATGGCACACACCTGTAGTAGATCCAGCTACTTGGGAGGCTAAGGTGGAAGGATCTTAGCCTGAATCCAATGGGCAGAGGCGGCAGTGGCCGTGAGTGTGCCACTGTATTCCAGTCGACAAGAGTGAGGCTCCTACTCAAAAAAAAAAAAAAAAAAGATGCAGAGCTACTAAGTAAAAAACAAAACTACACACATCTGATATAACTATGTCTTAAACGTTTACACATATAACATATATATAACATATTTATGCATTAAAATGACTATCAATTTCCTATAAAGCAGAAAATATTTCAAAATAATCCTCATAGGGGCTTTAATTCATGTAAAAGTGATAGTTTAATATATGCTTTAAAACATATTTCATTTTCTTTATTGATTCTACAACCTGGAAAAACTTGGAAATTCTATAAATAACTATGAGGAGGGAACAACAAAAAAACCTGGAATTATCTTTTGGAGGGCAGACCCCTTGTACTACAGGCGTTTCCCACTAGGTAAGTGTCCTAGGAAGCCATTGGCATTAGCATTGTTGTAAGAGGCTATGTTTGGCTTCAGTGAGGTTTTTTTGGGAGATTCTTTCAACGTGTTTGTCCATTTCATGATGGGTGATCTGTGAGTGCACTTGCTCACACTGCAGTGTTCAGCAGTTTTTGCCCAAAACACGGCATGACCCCCATGCCACACCCTCCCTATTCACCCGATCTTGCCCCGAGCCACTTTTCTGTATTTCCTGGGTGAAAAAAGTCCTCAAAGGGAAACACTTTGCCAAAAAATGTCAGAATCAGGCCAGGCATGGTGGCTCAAGCCTGTAATCCAGCACTTTGGGAGGCCGAGGTGAGGGGATTGCCTGAGCCCACAGGTTCGAGAACAGCCCGGGCGACTTGGCAAGACCTCATCTCTACAATAAATAAAAAAATTAGCCAGGCATGGTAGCACGTGCCTATAGTTCCAGCTACTCGGAAGGCTGAGGCGGAAGGATCCCCTGAGCCCAGCAGGTTGACGTGGGGGTGGCCGTGAGCGTGCCACTGCACTCCAGCCTGGGAGACGAAGTGATACTCCAACTCAAAAGAAAAAAAAAAAGGCAGAATCACTAAAAATCATCAAAACTGACGAGTTCAAAAACTGAGTAGTAGAAAAAGCATCTTGATAGCTGTATGATATCAAACGGAGAGTATTTTGAAGGTGACCGAAGTTTGAACAGCTAAGCATACATAAATTTTTATAACTACATTTCAGGTTTTTTTTGAATCTCCCCTTGTTCCTAAAGTTTCCATATCTCTATATTTGTTTCTGACTTCTTTTTTTTTTATTTTCTCGAGTTGGAGTCTCACTCTGTCGCCCAGACTGGAGTGCAGTGGCTGCTCCCGGCCACCGCAGCATCACCTGCTGGGCTCCAGCGATCCTTCCGCCTCAGCCTTCCAAGTAGCTGGAACTACAAGCATGCGCTACCACACCCAGCTAATTTTTGATTTATTGTAGAGATGAGGTCTCACCAAGTTGCCCAGGCGGGTCACGAATGTTTCTGACTTCTAAACTGTAATTTATGGAAGTTCATAGTACAAGTTGAAGGTTACATTTTATTAGCTATGTATTATGACATTTTTCACCTTATTACCATGGATAAATTGCAATGAAAAAAAGTCAACGGGACTTGAAAAGGGAAATAATTTATGAATTAAAAATACATGTGAGTTTTTTTTCAGAATTCGTATACAATTCTGAAGAAGCAGCTGTTACTCAACCAGGATAGTGTCCACATTTTCCTGTGTGAGCTCTGACTCTAAGGCACAAGGCAAGTCTAAGTGTTCCTGTGACAAGCGAGAACCTTTCAGGGAGACATCAGACCAGTTGTCACAATATGGCTGAAATCTCTGGGCCAATGCATTACCAAACCTTTGGCATCGGTTGTATCTGTAAGATTTACCTTTATGTGTATACATGTGTTCCAACAACTGGCTCTTTCGAAGAAATTTATGCCCACAGATGGTACAGTTGATTTTTCTTTTCCTTGAAAAAGAAAAATTACAGTTTAATTCTACTGGTTCTGTGTCTTTGGAGATCAACGACACTTGGCTGATCTGGAGAGGCTCTGCGGCACCCCGGCTTGAATGGTCAGGCTGCTGTTCATTTTCCTTGACAATAAAAGAGCTGAGCCTGCGGCATTCAAGAGCCTCGCTATTTTCATTAAGTGGATGCACTTCACCAAGGTCATTACTTTCCAGAATGGAAGCAGGGACACCGAATGGGAGGGATCCAGACACATGTGTATGGAGATGTTGTCTTAGGTTACTACGGGAATCAAAACGCTCCCCACAGTAATGGCATAAGTGTATTTTGATACTGTTTTCAGTACAGGTGGGGCCCGTCACCTCTGATGAGGGTGAGGAGTGGCTTTGGGAGATCACAGATTCTGGGTCACATCTCTCCTGCTTGATGGACACTGGGGGTTTCTGGTGCTCCTCCAAGGCCTGGGCAGCAGGATGGGCCCTCTGCTGATCTGCAGTGCCATCATCCAGACCAATAGCAAGAGAGAGCTGCAACTGGGGGTGGTCGCCCTGGACAGCAGCTCGGTTACCACTGTTACTGGAAGCAGCCTCTTTGACCTCCATTCCTTGTTTGACAACCGTCTTTTGGGTTGTTGAGATTTGAATGCCATACAAATTTGAGGACTGCACAGTCTCCGGTGAGAACACTTGATTCATTTCAGTTGCAATGTGAGAAAGGTAGTCGGCGTGCAGAAATCGAATCCCTTCCTCCAAACGACTATGATCCACAATCTGTTTTGGTCCTTTCCCCGTGTACATAATGTGCAACAAATAGCTGAATATGTCAGGCTGGATGTCAGTTGGTTGTATTTTTATGCACTCACTGTTAAAAAACAAAAACAGACCCACACAAAATGAAACACAACATAGTTAGCCTTTACATTAACAGTATATCTTAGGTTAAAGCAATTTCTTCCTATGTTCAAACTTAACAATCTGCCTTGATGAAGCACAGCAACCCAAAAGCTTAAACTTTCATTTCATACCAATTTTATGGCCCGGCATCAAGCCTTCATATATTCAACCTACTACCTAAAGTCAGGAAGCACAAATGTTCTGACTGGCTCGACACTAACTGAGTAGCTCCTAAGTGATCTGCACTATACTAGGTGTCAGAACTAGAAAAGTGGTGGACAAAATAGGTATCCTGTTCTTTTTTTTTTTTTTTTTTGAGTTGGAGTCTCACTCTGTCGCCCAGACTGGAGTGCAGTGGCCGCTCCCAGCCACCGCAGCCTCAACCTGCTGGGCTCCGGCGATCCTTCTGCTTCAGTCTTCTGAGTAGCCGGAATTACAGGCGTGTGCTACCATGCCCGGCTAATTTTTTATTCACTGTAGAGATGAGGTCTCACCAAGTTGCCCAGGTGGGTCTCGAACCCGCGGGCTCAGGCAGTCCACTCAACCCAGCCTCCCAAGGCACGGGATTACAGGCTGAGCCACCGAGCCCGGCTAGGTATCCTGTTCTTAAGGAATTTAACAGTCTGCTGAATATATAACCAAAGAAACCTGAAAACAGGGACTCAATCACAGTAGCCAAAGGGTGGGAACAACTGAAGTGTCCACCAAAAGATGAATGGATAAGCCTGATGCAGTGGCTCACACCTGTAATCCCAGTACTTGGGGAGGCAGAGGCAAGTGGATTGCCTGAGTCTGGGGGTCAAAGCCAGCCTGGGCAACTTGGTGAGAACTTGGTTCTATAATATGTAAAAAAAATTAGCCAGGTGTGATAGTGCACACACCTGTGGTTCCATCTACTTGGAAGGCTGAGGTGGTTGTGATCATGCCACTGCACTCCAGCCTGGATGACAAGAGTTAGACTCTGACTCAAAAAAACCCCAAAAAATAGATGAATAGATAAATAAAATATGGTCTATACCTACAATGGAATACCATTCAGTCATAAAAAACAATGAAGTTCTGAAACCTGCTACAATACAGATGAACCCTGAAAATATCATGCTCAGTATAATAAGCCAGGCATAAAAGGACACATGTTGCATAAAATAACTAGAATAGGCAAATTCATAAGGACAGTAGTAGATGGGAGGCTACCAAGGGCTGAGGGTCATGGGATGAGGAGTTACTGCTTAATGGGCTGGGCCTGCTGTGTGGTATCTCTGTACTACTGAGCAGCTAAAAATCATGTCAATAGAGCACTGAACTGGTAACTTAAAAAACCCTGCCACAGACTATATAAACAGTGGGCGAGAGCTAAGAGTGGAAACCAAGGGAAGAAGAAGGAATCTGAGATGCCACGACTAAAGCAACGGACTGCCAGCATACTGCCAGCAGCACCTGCTGATGCACTGACACAAGCTTCTGCTTCCGGGAAGGCAAGTCCATTGACTGATGCCAATTCCCTGATGTCAACACTTCCCTGAGTTTCTGTTTGGGGTGATTAAAAGTTTTGGAAATAAGACAGTGGAAATGGTTGTACAACACTGTGAACGTGATCACTGCCACTGTATTGTATAATTAAAATGGTTAAAATGACACATTTTATGTGTGTATATACACACATATATATACAAAACCACAATAAAAATAATTGAATTTTTAAAAAAGAACCTATTGAAGCTGTTAATATTTGAAACTTAAATTATACTAACTTTATTTTGGCTTCCAAAATATATTAATATGTCTGTTTCTTCATCACAAATGAATACAGGGATCATTTTGAAAAGCTTTAAAATTATCTCAAATTCAGTTTTTACACATAAATCTAGAATTCAGGTAATAGAAATAACTGTGGGCCAGGCTCGGTGGCACTTTGGGAGGCCGAGGTGAGCGGATTGCCTGAGCCTGTGGGTTTGAGACCAGCCCTGGCTACTTAGCGAGACCTCGTCTCTACAATAAATCAAAAAATTAGCCAGCCATGGTAGCAAGCGCCTGTAGTTCCAGCTACGTGGAAGGCTTAGGCAGAAGGATAGCTGGAGCCCAGCAGGTTGACGCTGGGGTGGCCTTGAGTGTGCCACAGCACTCCAGCTTGGGTAACAGAGTGAGACTCTAACTCAAAAAAACAAAAAAACCCAACAACAAAAAAACATATAGGGCCAGGCTTGGTGGCTCAGCCTGTAATTCCAGCACTTTGGGAGGCCGAGGTGAGTGGATTGCCTGAGCCCGTGGGTTCGAGACCTGCCTGGGCAACTTGGCGAGACCTCATCTCTACAATAAATCAAAAATTAGCTGGGTGTGGTAGCATGCGCCTGTAATTCCAGCTACTTGGAAGGCTGAGGCAGAAGGATCGCCCGAGCCCAGCAGGTCGAGGCTGCGGTGGCCAGGAGTGGCCACTGCGCTCCAGTCTGGGCGACTGAGTGAGACTCCAACTCAAAAAAAAAAAAAAAATTTTAGTGCTTGGGTATGGGGTAAACCTTCAATATTTAGTAATTGTTGTTTTCATTCTTATTTTCCACCATGGATCCTACACACTGAGTTTAATTACTGATGTACAAAAACAAATTATTAACACGTTTTCCTTAGGGTGATCTATGAAACAGGATCGCCAAAATAATATAGTAATGCATATATAAATCACAATATTAAAAATTCTTCCTATTTATAAAAACATATCCTTACCTTGTTTGGTGAATAAATATCATCTTGAAATAGTTGGAAAAAGCAGCAAGCACTGCTCTGTGGGCTTTGAAGTATACATCTCCAATGGCAACTGTGCAATCACACAGAAAACCAAATTCTCGCTGCATGTTCAACTGCTGCAGAAGGACAAGGCTATGGCTAGCAGTGTCCATTGTGGTTCTGAAAAAAGGACAACATAAATGTGTGTGTGTGTATTTTTATAAAATTGCCTATACTTCACACAAACCAGCTGAGTAGCAAGGAGACCTGGAATTTAAACAAAATTACTCAACAGTCTTCAATCCTGTTAATTTCACTCCAAACCTAGGTAACATTAAATTTCCCCCATTACGACAACTGAAATAAACTCTGCTGAGCTATAAAATATGGCCCTTTTTCACCTGGTAAGAAGGCAGCATGGTGTGAATGACATGAGCGAAAGAAAGGTCTGTCCTTTTCTTCCCATGTGAGCATAGTGTTTCTAATCCTGTTTCCTCTCTGGAAAAATAAAAATGAGATACTGATCCCTCCCTCAGAGGTAAGATAATTTATGTGAAAATCAAGTAATGAAAATGCTCACGTTAGCTGTAAAAGTTAACATAACTGGTTGTCCTAGATGGGCTAGAGCTGTTGCTACAGCTCCTTAGGGATCCTCTGGTGAACACAGGACGCTGGGCTCCCAACTATCATAAAATGTTTGGCGACTTATCAGGAACCCTTACAATAGATGTCAAGCCACATCTCCTGACATGGGGCTCAGGAGCCTTATAAGAAAGAACTTAAACCCTGATCTCAATTGGATTCAGACACTTAAGCATGCAGAAGGAGAAGGCAGGAAAAACATCTGGGTCTCAGGGGAAATTCCTATATGAGAAGAACATGCAGAATTCTGGCTGAGAAGCCTAGTTTGAGCAGCAAGGACATTTGGAAGGGCCCTGGTTCCAGGCAGGTGGGAGACTGTTCCTCTCACCTTCTCTACCCTGGCTGTGCAGAGCCCTGGTGCTTTAGGGAGAAGGCAGCTGTAGCATAAAGGGCATCCCTGGGTGGCTGGAAGAACATTCTTTGAAAGAGCAGATCCTGAAAAAGAGTGAGAAGTTTCCTCACTAGCTAGAGAGACCAAGGTCAGTGGTGGAGTGTGGGGTTAACCATCTAGCAGACCTTGGGCTGCAGACAGCTGAGTGATCGATAATACAATAAAAATAGCCAACCTGTGTAGTGCCTCTACGTGTCAGACACTTTTCAATCATTTAACTCTCAATGCAACTCTAATCCAACTACGTGCATCTTACCCATGAAGGAGCTGAGTCAACACAGAGAACTAAGTGATTCATTTGAGGTCACACTGCTTGTAAGTGGCAGAGCACGGGAGTCACACCAGGCTTCTCAGGTCCAAAGCCCAAACCTCCTTCCTTCCCCTCCCAGAGGAAACAAGACCCATGACTGAGGAGCCTAGAAGCGGAGGGCCACAAAGGACACCTGTGGGAAGTCTCAGGAATGCAAGTGTTGGGAAAGAGGAATCAGGGAGGAACATGGATTGCCCACTGGTTAAGCAAAAGTGATACAGCAAAACAAGAGTTTATGCTCATTAGATGGTCTAGATGATAACTGGTAAAGAGAAAGCAATTATTACTGAGAAAAAGTAGTCTACTTTTATTAAAACTGCGTATTTAATGCACCGGTATGAAATAATCTCCAAGATATATTAAGTTAAAAAGGCACAGTGTAAAATTATATAGAGAAGACTATTATTTATGTTAAAGGAGTGAATGGCTATTTTATTTTTAAAAGTGAAGAGGAATTTATGCATAAATGTATTCCTGTTTATGTACATGTCTCTAGAAAGGTTCAAAGAATCCAGTAAAATGTTCACTACAGCCAGGTGTGATGGCTCAGCCTGTGCTCCTAGCACTTTGAGTGGCAGAGGTGAGAGGATTGCCTGAGCCCAGGGGTTCGAGACCTGCCTGGGCAACTTAGCAAGATCTCGTCTTTACAATTAAGAGAAAGAAAATTAGCCGGGTATGGTGGTGTGCACCTGTAGTTCCAGCTACTTGGAAGGCTGAGGTGGAAGATCACCTGAAACCAGCAGGTTGAGGCTGCAGTGGCTGTGACTGTGCCATGGCACTACAGTCTAGGCGACAGAATGAGCTTCCAACTGAAAAAAAAAAAGTTCACTTTAAAAAAACCAAACCTATTATTGAAGTGTAACATAAACAACTCATACATGTATTCCTTTTTCCCTCATCTTTAAAAATTATAGAATACTTCAGATAAACAAGTAGGGACAGAAGACATTGTAAAAAATACCCACCTACTTATCCACTACTCAGCACAGAAAACAAACTTCACAAACATCGTAGAGCCCACTGGCATCGCTACCTCATTCCATCCCCACCTACCTGCCTCCAAGCGTACCTAACCAATTCCATGTCTATGACTCTCCTGTATATCACCACATCTTACTGCATAGGTCAATATCCCTTAAGTACTGTTTTAAATTTTTATATACATAACATTTTACTTGGGAATCCTACAACTTGATTCTTTTAACTCTACATCCATGCATTACTTTTAAATCCTACTTATTCAAACATAATAGTTTACCCTATTCCTCCAATTAAAAAAAAAAACTCTTACTCCTATCTCATTTTTTTTCTTTTTTCTTTTGAGTTGGAGCCTCACAGCCACTGCAGCCTTGACCTGCTGGGCTCAGGCAATCCTTCCGCCTCAGCCTTCCAAATAGCTGGAACTACAGGCATGTGCCACCACACTCAGCTAATTTTTAAAAAATTTATTGTAGAGATGAGGTCTTGCCAAGTTGCCCAGGCTGGTCCCGAACCCCTGGGCTCAGGCAATCCTCTCACCTTGGCCTCCCAAAGTGCTGGGATTATAGATGTGAGTTACTGCGCCTGGCCACACTATCTCATTTTTTAAAATCTTTAATCAGCAATGAAATAAGAAATAAGAAGATAACAGAAGCTACTAAGGTGGTCAGGCACAGTGGCTCTAAGACCAAAGACAATTTGGTTCTTTCTTTATATTCACAGAAATAGGTTCAAGCCTTAATATCTTCTTCTTCTTTTTTTTTTTTTGAACTGGAATGTTACTCTGTCTCCCAGGCTGAGTACAGTGGTGCAATCATAGCTCATGGCAGCCTTGAACTCCTGGCCTCTAGTGAACACCATCATGCCTGGCTATTTTATATTTTATCTTTTGTAGAGACAGGGTCTCGCTACGTTGCTCAGGCTGGTCTAGAACTTGTAGCCATAAGCAATCCTCCCAACTCAGTCTCCCAAAGCACTGGGATTACAGGAATGAGCCACTGTGCCCAGGCCCAGACAGTGGGTATTGGGCCAAGAAGCCATTTAATCAGAAGTCACTATTTATTGTACTTACCACACTTCCCTGATTCTAAAGCACCATCAATTCACAGGGGGATTTAAAAAAAAAAAATAAAACCCTATATTGGAAACGTTAGCATGTGAAAAACATGTATCATAAAATCAGTGAAATGGTTGAGATTGAAGTTATTTTAAACCAGCCTTACAAACTGTCTCAAAAACCCAAGCCCTCAGATCATAAACACTCTCACCAGTTCTTCCTGTTACATATTGTGCATTAGTATAATGAGCTATTGAACCATACAGAAAGGAGGAATAGTATCTAATATGCCACAGCCACAAAAATCTCGTGGTTAATGGTCTATGAGTAACTTAAATTCTTCACTTACTCAACAAATATTTCTGAAGAAAAATTTAATAAACAAAAAATATTTGAACGCATGGAGTACCAAGCATGGAGACAGGGAAAAATGACACATGCTACACTCAAGATGACAGGCTCACGGGGAAGATACAACATCAAGCAGTAATGATAAAATGAAGTCAAGCAGTTAGTGCCACAGAGCAGTTCAGAGAACATGCCATGGGAGGGAGACAAACACAGGCGACCTACGGGAAATGAGGCATTTGACTGGACTTACAGGGACAGGCAGAAAACACAGACTGAGTAAAATTACTGGGTGGCATAGGAACAAAACGAAGTAAGCAGAAGGTAAGGACAAGAGGTGGTGTCAGCTCACAGAGGGCACTAGGTTTAAGACTGGAAGGCAGTGCTGCATCTGAAATAACAAGATAAGATGTTTGAGTAAAAACAATGTGATCAGTTACCTACTCTGTGAGAGGGAGAACGGCATAGGAGTCAAAGCATAAACTCTGAAATCAGCTTAAAATTTCAGCTCTGTCATTTACTAGCTGTGTGTTCTTGACAAGACACTTAACTCTGTGTGCCTCCATATCACTTGTAAAATATGCATAATGATAATATATACTTTATAGGTTGTTATTTGGATTTAATAAAAATAATGCATAGAAACACTTAGAAACTGTGGGGTCCATAGTGAGTGTTCAATAAGTACCAGTTATTATCATTGTCACCACCATGAGGCCTGAGTCAAGACTACTCTAACAGCAACATATGAAAACCATTAGGCAGGTACAGTGGCTCACACCTATAACCCCAGCACTTTGGGAGGCAGAGGCAAGAGTATTGCCTGAGTCCACGGGTTCAAGACCAGCCTGGGCAACTTGGCGAGACTACCTCTCTACAATAAATAAATAAATAAATAAATAAATAAATAAATAGCCAGGCATTGTGGTATATGCCTGTAGTTCCAGCTAGTTGGAAGGCTGAGGCAGAAGGATCACCTGAATCCAGTAGGTGGAGGCTGTGGTAGCCATGAGTATGCAACTACAGTGTACAATAAATAAATAAATAGCCAGGCATTGTGGTATATGCCTGTAGTTCCAGCTAGTTGGAAGGCTGAGGCAGAAGGATCACCCGAATCCAGCAGGTGGAGGCTGTGGTAGCCATGAGTATGCAACTACAGTGTAGCGTGGGCAACAGAATGAGAGACCGACTCAAAAAAAAAAAAAAGAAAAGAAAAACAAACCATTAGGTTGGGCATGGTGGTTCACGCCTGTAATTCCAGCACTGCCTGAGCCCAGGGATTCAAGACCAGCCTGGGCAACTTGGCAAGACCTTGTCTCTATAATAAAATAAAAAGTTAGCAGGGCATGTGGTATACTTCTGTAGTCCCAGCAACTTGGAAGGCAGAGGCAGAAGGACTGCCTGAGCCCAGAGATGGAGGCTGCAGTAGCCATGATCGTAGCACCGCACACCAGCCTGGAAGACAGAGGGAGACTCCAACTCAAAAAAGGTAAAATGAATAACACTAGATTGGGCATGATGGCTCATGCCTGTAATTCAAGCACTTTGGAAGGCTAAGGTGGGAGGATTGCTTGAGCCCAGGAGATAGAGACCAACCTAGAAAACACAGTGAGACCTTGTCTCTACAAGAAATAAGAAAAATTAGCTGGGCATGGTGGCACACGCTTGTAGTCCCAGCTACTTGGGAAGCTGAAGCAAAAGGATCACCTGACCCTAGGAAGTAGACTAGGTTGTGGTGAGCTGTGATCTTGCCACTGCCCCTCAGTCTGGGTAACAAAGTGAAACCCCTACTCAAAACAACAGCAACAACAAACTATTAGCAACAGAAAGACACAGAGAAAGAAAGGCTGGCTAGGAGCCTATGACAGCATCAAGGTAATGCAGCAGGAATGAAGAAAGAAATACAAGAAACATATCATATCAGACACAGAACCGGCACGAGTTGGCAGCAGACTGGATCCAGTCAGTCGCAGAGATCAAGTCAAAGGTCTCAGAATTCCAGGCTGGGTAACTGAAGCATTCACCCATTCCTTCAGAACATACCAGCAGAGTAACTGTTGTGTGCCAGGTGCTGATAGAACACCAGAGAAGAGGAACAGAAACTGGACAGTAAGAGAGGTTTCACTTTGGACACAGTGGCTCAAGTGTCTACCCCAGAACATCTGAGTAGGAACACTTAGCGATTGGTGGAGACAAGAGGCAGGTATGGGTTCTAGAGACAGCGGGGCTAGAAAGGGAGAGGAGGCCTCTGAAGTGACAAGGCTGAACTAACCAAGGATGAAAATAAA